CTTTCTTTCCATTGTTGCAGTAGAGTTATATGCAGGATGATGTGAATTTGCAGATTGACTCGGTCATGGGGAGGGATAGGGTTTCTGAAGCAACCTGGAAGGTCAGGGTGATTAGAACAAGGAAAGAGGTCTCCAGGCAGAGAGCGCAGGATAGGAAGCTGCATTCCAGGATTAACAGGCATGGACTCTGAGCAGGAAACCAGGAAAGAAAGCTAGACAAATAGGATAGGCCTCACTTGGCAATTTTGGAAGCTAACAGAGTTTGATCTTTAGCTTTGATCTTGAGATTTTGGGGAAGCTATGAAAAGATTTCAATCAGAGGTGAGATGTCCAATCACATTCTAGGCATATCTCTGTATAGCAGAATGGCGAACAAAAGAAACTCGGCAAGGGAAGAGCATCAGCCTTGGACGTTGAGAGTAGCAGGGCAGGAAAAAACGAATGATATTAAAGAATGCTGTGACAGTTAAATGTGTGGGAAGAGTGGTTCTAAGCCTAAGGCATCTCTCCATCACCCTGCCAACCTCTTCTTTTTCCAAGACTGCAAACCTTGGTCTGAAGATTTGTACATTATAAAGTGACACCATTTGGAAGAGTCAAGACTATCTGAGAAGTTACCCCTTAATGTGAATAATTTAAATTTGATTATTAGCTACATTCCTTCTGAAAACCCTCCCTGGCGTTATCATTAGCTCAGGCAATAGAGTTTCTTATTAAACCAGTTATCTCCCCAATTCCTAGAGGACAGTGGAGCAACAAAGCTTTCCTAGAGCTCCCTGTCTTTGGCCTCACCTTTCCTGCTCACATGAAGAGGAGAGGAGAGACACCACCTGTGTTGGGAAGCTCTTGTGCCATGTGCTGGCCTCAGTTGGTTTCTCATTGTGCATCAAGACCCCGGGGAAGTAATCATCTCTTGGTTGTTTCCTGTACTCTTGACCTATGTCTCCAACTGGTTCTGCACCCTTGAAGGTGGCAGCTTAGTCTGTGAGCTTTCTTGCATTGCTCAGTCTCCTATTTCATTCATCATGATGTAAAGTCAGAAATTGGGAATTGTTTTTAGGGTGGCAGTACTGCTGGTTTTGGTGAGAGCACTTTCAGAGCATGAGGTAAACTCCCTCAGCTCCAAGCCCCACTCCAGGGAGCAGGTGGCCATTCCCAGGCAGTGCTCACTCCTGGCTGCGTGACCATGGCCAAAGCCCAGGTCCTGGGGGTGGGGAGAGGGCTGGTTAGCAAGAGTTCATAACATATCACTGTGACTCAGAAGGGAATATTCTAGGGCGTTGCCTCTTGGATTCATCCTGCAAGCAATGGTGGAACTGAATGAGCTTCCCTCTTGGAGTACCATTGGGCTGGACCCTGCTTATTGTCATGGTGCTCTCTGCAAGGCCATTTGTCCCACCAGAGGAGGGGGCTGCTGTCTGGGTGACAGGAAATTAATATCATATGCTAGATAGAATGTTCTGTTGTAAATACATGTTGGTGCATGTTATAAATTCAAATACAATCTAAGAGCTACTCTTTTTTAATGGGTATTCAGTCACTGCTTGATCCCTGAGCTACACTACAGTTTTGGCTTTGTGAATATAACCTAAGATGAGATTTTCTGGATGCAAGGAAATCCATAGCTTTGAATTCTTCAATCGAGATGATATAGCCATATAAAGATCTTTAAAAGGCCCTACAATTGACTTGAGTTCTGTGGTAGTGGTAAAAATACCGAAATCTCTATCCTCAGATTCTCCAGCTTTTGTTTTCCTTTGGCCCTAACTTTTTGTGCTCTGAAAAGCCTGTCCCTGTTCTGCCATCTCTTTCCTTTCTACCAATCTTAGAATTAGGTGACCTGATTTCTGGCAGAAACCTTAAAAAAATGTGATCATATGCAAATTACTTAAACTTGCTGAGGCTCTGTTTCCTGAAGTCTGAATAATAATGCCTATTTTGTCTAATTTATAAAACAATTACAAGTAAAATAAGTAGAATGGTAGGTCTAAAAATCTTTTTTAAATGATATAATTAAATTCTCAGTTAAGGTGGTAATACTTCATTACTTAATCTGGGTTGCATTAATTACAGCTGTGTTATAGCTGTACTCCTTACTGGGGGATTAGATTGCTTCTGCACATTAAAAAGTATTTGATGACTTTCTGTTGTGCAAAGGAAAAATAATGAGTTAACATTCATTATTTACTACAAATAAACTGAGACTTAAGAAGATGTAGCAGTGTGTCCAAATTGATGTTATATATAAGTGAGAAAACTGAAATTGGGTTCCAGTGGGTTATGCATTTTATATGGATGATAGTGGCCATAACCTACTATGTGGAAGTTAAGTTTCATTTCAGCGTCTTGCACATTTGTGCATCTTTTTTCTCTGATATTTCAACTGACATCTGTTCTACACAGACCTTTCCCCCCTCCTACTTGTGATTCACATAGCTTATCTATGAGTGTCCACATTATCTGATGGGAATTTTACGTTAATGTTTAGAAATAGAAAAGAATGCATAAGAATACATAAACTTCAGAGTCACATGGTTTTGGTTAGTGCTTTTCAGTTAAGTTCTTGCAAAAAAAGAATTGAGATGTTATGTGTATGTACCAGTTTGCCATGATGAATGCAATCATTATGTGCTACAAACACGTACTAATAAACAAAAAGCACCTCCTGCACTGCCTTGAACTTCAAGGAACCCAAACTAAAAACAGTTAAGCTCTTGGAAGAGTTACTTTACTGTCTTAAAATTTCATTTTTTCACCACTAAAGATGAGGATAGCAGCTCCTGCTTCATGGGACGATGGGACGAGCTCATGCATGCTGTGTACTTAGGACACTCATAATATGTCACTCAGTAAGTACTTAAAGACTTCCTTTTGTCATTTTTCATTTGAAGTTCCAGTTCATGAGCAACATTTTATGTAAATTCAACTGCATTTTGTACCTTAAGGTATAAAAATCATATTTCAGGGCTGGCCAGATAGCTCAGTGACTGTAAAGTGCCTGCTTAGGCAGAGTACAAGGAGCAGGGGTTTGATCCCTGGCACCATGAGCCCTGCTGGCCCCACCCCTGGGGCGTGCTAAGACAGCACTTGATTACAGCACATGCCTGTAATCCCAGTGCTTGGGAGGCTGAAAACAGGAGGATTACTACGACTCCAATCTACATAGTGAGACCCTGTAGACCCTGTACTAACTACATTAAAAAATCATATCTCAATGAAAGAATAATACAAAGAGCTAGCCAAATAATTCATTGGAATAAAGTGCCTACAAGCAGGTGCAGGAGCTGGGGATTTGATCCCTGGGCCTGCTGTGCCGGCCCTGCCCCCGGGGCGTGCTAAGACGACAATTGAGACAGGCATGGTGGCTCATGCCTGTAATCCCAGCTCATTAGGCATTTCTTATGTGCCATGACCTGAAGTAGGTCTTTGACAACCTTATAGTGCTTTTTACTAACTCTGATTAGGTGCTATTCTTATCTGTTTTGGAAATTGTATTATGGAGAAGGTAGGTTAAGCCATTTTGGGACTGAGATTTAAATCTTTCAAGCCCATTCTTATGGTTACCATAGTTTGGTAATTCCATAGATTGAAGAAGAAAATACACATTTGGTAATTTCTGAGAGCAAGAGTCATTGTGGTGTTTAAGGAGAAGCATCATGGACTTTTTATTTTTATTTTTATTTTTTTGTGGTGCCAAGGATTGAACTCAGAACCTTGCGCTTGCCAGGCAAGCACTTATTCCACTGAGCTATCTCCCCAGCTCAGCCTCATGATTTGAAAGTAAATCAGAGCTACAAGAGAGGAGCACACTTTTAAATAAAAAGAAAGTCATTTATTTATTTAATCGTTTAGTATGGGGTCTTGCTGCGCAGCTTAGATTCACATTGATCCTCCTGTCTCAAACTCCCTAGTGTTGGCATTACAGGCATGCACCACTATGCCCGGTTTTAGGGCAGCACTGCATGTCCTGGGTTTTGGGGTCAGCATGGCATGTGGTACTGTGGTTTGAACTTGGGTCCTTGTGCTTGCCAAGCAGGTACTTAGACCACTGAGCTATCTTCCCCAACCAGAGCACACTTTTAAAATCCATTTCTTTCACCAGAGTGCTATATCACTTTTAGAGTCCTAATTATGTCTTTCAATTTTCCATTCCAAGGACATGTGGCTCTGGCCTAGAACCGGGCCTTTGGTACACTGTGCAGCAGTTCACTTTTGCCCCACTGTGAATTCTACTTTTCCTGCGATGCTGGCTGTATGGAATCTTGGGAGTAAAATGTATCCTGTGGAACCATTCAGCGCCTTTCAAAAATTTCTTTAAAGGGTTATCTGTTTCAGATACATGAAATTCTAGTCATGTTGGCCAAACAAGCTCCTGCTTTATTGCACTGGCGTTATAGAATTAACAAAAATGAATAATTGTATTTCTCTGTGTTGTGGCTGAAGCCGTTTTTCTTGGGTACATTGTGGCAGTTGATCATGATCTACTTTTGTTCAAAGTCTGAGCCCTCACTTTACCATTTCCTTAATTTTTATGGGGGAAGGTGGATGGTCCTGGTCCTTTTTTTCTTCCTTTTCTTGTAGAGCTTGGTTTAAACCTGGAATATGCTGGGTAAGAGCTTTGCCACTGAGCTGCACTGCAGCCTCTGGTCCTGGTGATTCCTATTTGACTTTTCTGCTCCTTTGAAACTTAGATAGAAGGAAGCAGGTTCACATAAATGACTTGTGGAATTGAATCTTCTGATGCCAGAAAAAATTATATGGAAATAAAATTGTAGGTTTTGGGTCCTGCCTGTAGAGTTGGCATACTCTCCTGGGTTGGGTGGCTTCAGGGAAATCACTTCACTACCCTATCTCCATTTCCTTTACCTATGAGTGAGGTTCTAGGACTCTGTGATCCCCAAAGTTTAAAACTTGTATGTTCCTACATGCCAGCCCTGTAAGACCACATTTACTCAGTCTTATGCAACATGGCTCAATGATCATCTATTTATTTGTTACAGAATTTATTGATGTCTTCTTGCCTGAAGAATCTCCGGCTGTTCTGATGATGGCTTAGCAGGACTGCATGCTGTTCCCTCTTGATGCCGCACCAGGCCCACTTGGCGCTTCAGATCTCAGTCCTTCATGGAGACCAGGTCCCAGCAGGAATGGCAGTGCAGGAAATTGGCACCCAGATGGTTCCTCCACATGAAGTCGTCTCGGGCTATGGGCTGACGCGAGGACACCTGGTAGCTGGGCCAGCCCTCTGTCAGTCACCCGAGGACGGGCAGCATGGTGCGCCTTCAGAGGAGGAAGCTTTTGGCATCCTGCCTGTGCATGACAGCTACTGTCTTTCTGCTTGCTACACTCCAGGTACCAAGGGTTTGGATTGTGTAGTGTGGATTCATTCCGGGCTGTTATCTTCCCACTTCCATTCTTATAAAACTTCAAGTACATTACTGTTTTGCTTAATCCTTCAGGGTCAGGGACTTTCTGAAGTGTAAAGTAAGAAAAAACAGTCTTTTTAAACACGTCAAATTGAATAAGTGTGTCAAATACAAAAAAGTCATTGAGTGATGGTGTCAGTTTGTGACTCCACAGCTGGTTTTACTGAGACAAAAACTGCATTTTATCTTTCTGGCTTAATGCTGGGTGGCTCCCTCAGAGTCTCATATTACTGCTTCTGAAAGTGACAGTTTTGAAGAAGCAGGGACTCTTCTAGAATAGTACCCGGAAGTTATTCTATGTAGTGTAATAAGTACAGAAGTTTCTTGACCTTTGTTATTGGGTCAAGGATGGTCAAGGGTGAATGAACTGAAGCCTTTCTCTCATCTTCCTACTTAGTTCTCATAGTAAGTATTTAATTTGTTTACTAATGTAAGATTAAAATAAAATTCCATGGTGATAAAGATATATTTGTAATATCATATGGATATGATATATGCTTATAGTAAATTTTGAATATATGCTATATTTTTTCCTCTGTTCATTTTAGTATCTGTAGGACTTTTCAGATGATGTGTAGATGTGAGTAGTTCAGGTGTGGGACTGATGGAAGCTAACGTGTTCTCTGGTCTTGGAACTCTGCATCAGCTCCCTTATTCTGATCAGGATGGAGTGAATGTTCATTGAGCAGGTTGGGAATCCGGTCAGAGGAGACATTTGCCTGCTTCTTTGTCCTTCTTGGAGATGCCCAGGGCCTGCTGTGCAGAAGGGACCGCAGATGACTGCTTCTCTCTCAAAGTCATTTCAGGGGTGCTTTGATCTTCCTGGGCATTTGCTGTCACCTTATCCAGCTCTGAAGAATGCCTGTGTCTAAGCCAAGGGTTGCCTTGTTGATGTCAGAATAAATGTCTGTGTTTTTGAGGTGCCTGTCAGGTGTAAGTTTCCAAAGCATGAGAAATCAGTGTGACTCTCGGAGCTGAACCGTAAACTGGCCCAGTTTCGGTTCTTCCAGCAGTAGGTTTCTTGGTCCTCACTGGCACATGCAGTGCTTCAGTGTTCCGCATGGTGGTGACGTTATCATAAAATTCCTTGAAAACACTAGTGCAAAAAGAGTCTCCTGCACTCAGAGCCACACCTGTTCTTTATGGTTCATGGAGGAGGTGGAAAAAATGACTTGCCACAATAAGTAGGATAAAGAAAAGATAAATTTAAAAAGTAAATCACGTTGAGAATCCTCTATTAGCTTCTAAGACTGTCCTAATGAAGTACTGTGGGGTGGGTGGCATGAACACGAGACATTCATGTTCTCACAGTTTTGGAGGTTGAGGAGTCCACATCAAGGTGTTAGCTGGTGGTTTCTTCTGAGGTCCCCCTTCCTCTCCTTGACTTATGGATGGGCCTCTTCTCTTTTGTGGCTACACTGTCCTCTGTCTGTACTTGTCCGTGTTGAAATGTCCCTTTTTTATGAGGACCTACGTATACTGGATTATGGCTTTCATGATCTCAATAACATATTTTAAGACCCAGCCTTCAAATATAGCCACATGCTAAGGTATTAAGAGTTAGGACCTTAGCATATGAATATAGGGCATATACCACTCAACCCCCAATACTTATCTAGCATAAATTACTTAGCTAATGGTAACCTAAACATGCAAATGTAGTGGTTACCTAATATTAAGCTGAAGGATTATTCTCTGGAGGAAATCATTCTTCTTAGATTGTTTTTCATTACTTTTAACTTTATTTTGTATATAGTTTCTATAAATTCTTTGGGTGTCTAATATATTTATCTGTATTTTTGAATTTTATTCTTTAGTTGCACAAATGTTCATGAATTTTGAAGTTTTTCAGAGTAAATCCTAGACATTGAATTTCACCTGCACATATGTTAGTATGATTTTGTAACATATAGAAACATTTAAATTTTCATGTAATGACATCATTAATCTCTTACCCAACAAAATTAACAGTAATTACTCAATAACTTTTATATCTTGGGTAAGTTAAAATTTTCCCCGTTGTCTTAAAGCCTTTTTATAATAGAATAGTTTGAATCTGTAATAAACAAATTCTACACATTACCTATGGTTGCTGTATCTCAAGTTTTGATTTTCTTTTGTAAATTTCTTTTGCCCTACCTTTTGTTTGATGTCATGGATTGCTTGGAATAAAAAATGGATTTCGTTGTCCTTTGAATTATCTGTATTGTAGTTTTAGCTGATTTTATCTTTATGGCTTCAATATTTTCTTCAGTCTACCCCTATATTTCTTATAATTGGCAGTGGTATCTGTGGATAAGTATATTTTAAAAAGCTGTTGAGCAGAAAAAATGTGTTCATAACTCAGTGTCTCAGTTACTTTTCTGTCCTTGCTGGGACAAAATGTTCAACACTCAACATGAAGGAAGGAAAGGTTTCTTTAGCTCACAGTGGAGGTTTCAGTCCATACCCAGCTGGCTCCAAGGCAGAGTGGAACATGGCAGAGGGCAACCATTCATGGTGGTGGAAGACAACAAAAAGTAAGGAGAGGAGCTGCAGCTGTGGTAGCGAGGTAGCTTCTTTCCCCTCCTTACATCCAGATGCAGATTATCTGCTCCAGGACAAGTGTAGCACTCACATCTATAATCCCAGCATTGGATCAAGAATTAATTGCAAAGGGCCGGAGAGAGAGCTCAGAGAGCTAAACACCTGCTTAGGCAAGTGCAGGGTCTGGGGTGGGATCTCTGGTGCCACATACTGTGCCAGCTCCCTCCCCTGGGCGTGCTGGACCAGATGAGTCTGGGCATGGTGCGATGTACCTGTAATGCCAGCACTGGGGAGGCTGGAAACAGGAGGATCACTACAAGTCTGAGTTGCATAGTGAGACCCTGCACAAAATACAAAAAAACCCCAAAAACAACAACAACAAAAAAACCACCCAAAACCAAACAAAAAAACACAACAAAACAAAAAATCTAAAAAAAGGAATTAATTGCAAACTCTAGAAGCTACCCCATGACTGAATGAGGTTTTGGGGTGACATCTAGGTACAAACCATAACACACAGTCTTTTTTATTTGAAGGGAACTTAAACTTCACATAGGAGACATTGATCAGAAGTGTGGAACAAATGTTACCTTTGAAGTTACAGTTTTTAAAAGCCTTTTGGGGCTGGTGAGACAGCTCAGTGGTCTAAAGCACCTACTTAGAACAAGCTAAGCTAAGCAAAACACAGGGACCGCGGTTCAATCCCCCAGCACCACATGCCAGCCAGCCCTGCCCACTGGTGGGCTGAGCTGGCCACACACACACACACACACACAATAAATAAATAAATACTAAAAAAAAATAAAAGCCTTTTGTTTTAAGTTTCTGATAATTGGCAGGGGAAGGTCAAATGAAGATGGTTTGGGGTTATAAGTCAACTCTGTTCCATCAATCTTCTGGGGAAAACCCACCTTTATATATTATGGAAGTGCTGAGAAAGCTGTTGGCAAGAGTTTGACTAGTTTTTAAGACTATTCCTTTGTTTTAATGCAGACTGTGGTGTCGGAGGTGATCCATGATTTTTCAAAAGCAAATATAATTTCTTACTCCTGTAGGAGTACTGCTAATTGGTTTTCACTCAGTGGTTCTTAGTATTTTTATAGACCTTGGGTACTTTTGAGAATCTGGTGACAGTTAGGGACTTTCTACAGGAAGTCACAGACTCTATTGTTGCCATAGTGGCTTGTGGCTCTCTCCTTACCCCTTGGGGAGTCACACATGGAAAAGGCTTGGCCCCAGGTTTCTAAGAGTAGGGCTGTACAGTTAATGTTCTCTTGGGCTGGTGGAGGAGGAGCTACTGGTTGTCCTTGGAGGGCTTAGCAGTGATGGGGAACCTTTCAGAGACTGATTGCCACACTTCAACCCCAAACACACTTATTTATCATAAAGTGCCAACATTGTAATTAAACCTGAATACTGAGGTTTTAGTTTAGAAAAAGCAACTCTTACATTAACATCTCTTGGCCTAAAAGAAAAACACAGTACCACCCATGCCACAGGTTCAGCCAACATGGCCTAGGGGCTTGATTCTCCATTTACCAGAATATGCAGATCCCCACGTTTGTGCTGTAAAGTGGCATAATATGTGCACACAATCTATCACATTCTCCTTGTATAGTATCTCTGGATTGGTCATAGTACTTAGTACAATGTAAGTGCTACGTAAATAATTCATTGTATCATTTAAGGAATAATGTTAAGGAAAAACATCTGCACATGTTCAGTATAGATGCAAATGTTTTTTTGGGGGGAGCTCTTTTTAAGTCAGGGTTTTGCTCTGCAGTTAAGCCTGGCCTCAAACTTGTGGCAGTCCTGTTCAGTCTCTGGGAGTGCTGGGATTACAGGTGTGTGCCATCACGCCTGGTCCTAGATACAGTTTTTTGTAGTAGACAAGTAATAGCTCATTTATCATAGATATCAAAGGACAAAACCTTTTCTGGATACTATATTTACTTATGAAGGGGGATGTGTGTTATAAGCATGTAGTAGAATTATTAAGCATCCCTGTTGGAACATTTTGCCATAATCTCTAGACCTATGAATATGTCACTTACATGGCAGAAGGGACTTTGCAGATGGGGTTAATGCCACATATGTGAGGCAGAACATGACTTTGATGTGAGTGTGTCCCTCAGAGTTTATGTTTCTGACATACCGTGTCCCCAGTGCAACAGTGTAGAAAGGTGAGACCTTGACAAGGTAATTAGGCCACTGTGCCCTCGTGCGTAGATTAAGGCCATGACTGTGGGAGTGCAAAAGTTGTCTCTGGAGGGGCTCCTGATAGAAAGATGAGTCTGGGCTTCTTCACTTCTCTTGGACCCCTTAGCCTTTGACTTCCCAGCCTCCAGAACTGTAAGAAATATGTCTCTATAAATTACTTGGCTTAGAAGGGGCAGAGAGAGGAGAAGTTAAAAAAAAAAAAAGATGTGCTCTGTACATGCACCACCTCCCCATGCTGAATGTAACCATATTTTACAAACATGTACTAGTAAAATTATAAATTTTTTTAAAAAATTCCTGAACTTGGGTATTCTTTTATGGAAATTATCCTGACCAATTCAGAGTGGCTCCATGTAATCATGTGAATCAGTGAGAGTAGAAACCTTTCCCTGGCTATGGACAGAGAGGGGTTAGACAGTCTGAGAAAGCCTGTCTTTGAAGGTGGAGGAATGTGGAGGAAGTGGCCACAGGCCAACTCTTGTGGCCAGCCTCTCAAGGATAGAAAATTCAAGCAAGTGATTCTCCCCTGGAATCTCGAGAAAGAAGTGTGGCCCTTTGATACCAGCTCTGTGAATCCCATTTCCAAATTCTGACCCCCAGAACTGTACAATGAGTGTTGGTTGTTTCAGATTAAGAACTCTGTGGCAGTTTGCTAGAACTATAACACAAAGTGCACAGGATGCTCAGCGGGCATGATGACTGGGAGGCTGCCAGAAGAATTCTAATAATGACTGTCTTTAACTTTCAGGTTGTGGTTGAGCTGGGCAAATTTGAAAGGAAGAAGTTTAAAAATTCCCATTTGCAAGATGGACATAACACGGTGGAAGAAGGGTCTAATCGTCTCAATGTATTCCTTAAGAAAGAAGCACTGACCTTGAATGGGAAGAAAAAGTTGGAAGTTGGTGACCACCCCATCATGCTCTGGTGGTCCCCACTCACTGGGGAAACTGGACGGCTGGGCCAGTGTGGAGCCGATGCTTGTTTCTTCACCATCAACCGGACCTATCTGCATCATCCCATGACCAAAGCATTCCTCTTCTATGGTGAGTAGACATCGTTCCTTTCCCTTTGCTCTCAGCTGACTCCAAAGCTCTGATCCTGCTTGTCTCCTGGGAAGGAAATGTTGGACTTCCCCGGGAGACACTTTGGCACATTTGCTTTCCTGTGTTTGCTCTGAGGGAGGCCTGAGCATTTAGCAGATACAAAAACTAAACAAACTTGGCATTTGCCTGATATCCCAGCACCTGGGAGGCAGAAGCAGGAGGATTTCCATGAGTTCGAGGCCAGCCTGGGCTATCTAGCAAGTTCAAAGCCAGCCTGAACTATATAACAGGATTCAGTCTCAACCAAAAAAAGCAAGCTAAACCAAAAATACCCAGCACAACCAATTAAACAAGCCTGCCCAACGTAGACGTGGTTGGCCAGGTCACTTAAGTACTTATGGAAAAGAGGAGAGATTTCTTTCTCATATCTTCACAGTAGGGTGTTGTGCTTACTGAATTTGATATGCAGTATAGTGGGTAGTGCTCAGTGTACTGCTGAGATGTATTCAAAATGTCACTTGTAATGAAGGCCAGCAGTCGTGGAAGGAGTCTAGCTTAGGCAGCTGGAGGAAGCACACGGATACTGAGATTTGGTAGAAAGTCTTTCAAGGCTTGGCTGGTAGGCTGGGGCCCTACTGATGAGAATCTCAGTCCCAGTGTCATAGTTCTGGAATATTCTGGCTGAGGGGTGGTCTCATTTTCATGAAATGAACCCCAGGTTCATGAGAATGGCTGGAGACTTCAAGGCATAACTGAATGTCCCTCGATGTCTTCTACTTGGTGTTCTCAATTCCGACTAAGAAAGAATAGATATAAACACTGGGCTAATTAACATTGTTCTGCCAACTTTTAGGTAGGCCCTCCCTAAATGATTAACATAACTACATACAGAACTGAGAAGTGATTTGACCTAAGATTGAGAGTGAAGAGAGAAAATGGAAGTCAAACTTGATTTTGCTTCTAGTTTCCTATTGAGTAGGCCCAAGGAAATTGTCATGGTTCACAGCAAAAATGGAAAAGTAAGGAGAGTTTCATTATCATTGAACCTATCGCTGTTAGAGCAAGCAAAGTATGTTGTGGATGTTATTTTCAGAAATCTCTTGTACAGGAGTATCAGTTGCTGCTAGAGGAAAAACCAAGTTGGGCTCATATCTCCCTTGGGGACACTCACACTCACACTCACACTCATTCATGCACATTATTTTGCACAGTGTGATGTTTTGCTGTCTTCTCCTTTCTCTGAGAAAGTATGGACTGTTCTTTTTTTCATCATTTTGCAAATTTAGTAGTTATGACTTTGCTTTGGTTCTACTACTTTTTATTGTGCTGGGAACTCAATATGTATGGTTGCCAGGAGGCCTACAGAACAATATTTAGCTTGGTGACTATTCCAGGACTCCCCGTCTCTACATGTGCCTGCACTTAATTTCATCATCATACCAAGAGTCAGTGTTTTCCTCAGGGATGGACTCATCTTCAACCAAATTCCTAGCACACTGATGTGTCAATAGAATATCTCAGGTCCAAAGTACACATGAAACTCTCAGTGACTCTTGTGAGAACTGGGTGCGCGCCATTTTTATTGATAGGACACTTAGGGCTCTGAAGTCTGACTCCAGCCTGATTTCTAAGCTTAATCCATTTGATTCTACCAACTGAACCTTATGTTTAAAAATCAAGCTGGAGTAGTGAAGGACATTGGTTGGGTACAGCATAGTTTTGACTAAGGAAGGGGTAACGGTTGAAGGATATATAGGAATCAGACCATGGAGGACCTTGAATGTTGGGTTATGGCTTTGCCTCCAATTAGAGGATGATGTTGGGAAGTCACTGAATGTTGAATAGCCTTTTAAAGGTTAGCTCTGATGTAACACCTATGAAACAACTATTCTCTACCCTCTCCATTGGGTGAAACCTCTCTGCTCTGAATATCTGTAGGTATGTATGTTATTTAATGGGAACATCCACTGTATGCCAAGTACAATGCCAGTCACAAATAGATCAGATATATAAGTTAACTATGGCATTTAATTTTGTACTGTATGGCCATCTCTTTCCTAGTATATTCTATAGGGTGGCATAAATTCATCTTTACATCTCCTGCATTCCTGTGTATGTAACACACTGCTTTTGTACATGGGAGATATTCAGGAATATTCTGAGTCTTAGAGCTGCAGAGCAACTGAGAGTCTAGTCCTTTCTTTGTAAATGTAGAAAGCTTGAGGCTTAGGTGAGGGAGGCCTGATGGGGATTCCAGCAGTCAAGAGCAGAGCTGGGTGGGGAGCCAGCATACTTTTTTGTCTTCAGGGTCCACATTCTTATTAAGTAGGTCACTAAAACTGCGCACAGGGCTCTGGTGCAAGCGGAATTGAAAAAAAGCAGGAAAAGTGATTGAGGTGTCTAACGCTGACCTAATTACAGGGAAATGAAACTCAAAGCATTATGTGAGTTCCAAACTTTTGTTTGTTACCTTTGTGGCCAGCTTTTTCAGGTCTTCCTAGGAAGGAGTCATTCACGATAATAACAAAATATAGCAACCATTGTTAATTTTCTATTCTTATTTTGAAATTCTGTACCGTATATATTGTTTTAGGCTGCTTGTCTTTGTTCTTATTTGTTTTGTCTCTTTAAAATAAAAAAAAATACAATTTCTGCAGCTAATGAAGATTTTAGCAGTGAAATACAGTGAGTACTATGTCCAGGTTGAGCCATTTGAGAAATGCAAATTATTTAGTTACAGTGGCAAGTTTCACAAAGAAAAATCAAGCAATCAGGAAAGAAAAAATATTTTTAAATCAAGGCTCATGCAGTTAGTCTCTGAAGCCATCCCTAGTGGTTTCCAAACATTGCCCTGAGTTTTAAAATAGTTGCCATGAAAGCTTTCTCCATGCAGGACAGCAAGCACCTATGGTGGCAAGGGAAGTAGGATAGGCTGCTTAGGTTTTAGATAGTTTATTTATTTTTTCTTCTTCTTCTTCCTCTCCTTCTTTTTCTCCCCCAACTCCCTACTCTTCCTTCAACTCCTCCTGTCCTCATTTACAAAAGCTCTGTTTCTATTTTTCTTTCTTTTCTCATTCTTTGCCTTTACTTTTTTCCTTCTTCCCTTTCTCCCTCCCCCCATTTGAGCATTTTTCCTTCTGTCTCAAAAGACATTTTGGTCTTTATTTACACTTTCAGTTTCTCACACTGGAGAAACAATGTAGTCAATATTTGCACATGTGTGTCTGATTTATTTCACTTAGGAGTATGGACTCTTCTGTACTCTCTTTTAAAAAAAAAAGGGTATGGGCTCGAGATGCATCCATTTAGCTAGAAATGTCTCAAGTGTGCTCTTCTTTATAGCAGAGTAGTACTCTTTTGTGTTAGAAAAAACCACATCTTCTGTATCCGTTTACCAGTTGATGGGCACTTGGCTTGTTTCCAAGATTTGGCCATTACAAACCGTTCCACTAGAAACATAGGTATACATATGTCACTGTGGTATCACGCTTTTAATTCTTTTGGGAAGATACCTAGGAAGGGAATAGCAGGGTAAAGTAGCAACAGTAGTCCTAGTTGTTTGAGGACTCTCCACTCTGATTTCCGTAGCAGTTGCAACAATCGACACTTCCACCAGCAGTGGAGAACGGTTACTTTGCCCCCACAGCCCCTGCAGCAATTGTTACTGGTTGATTTCTTGATGATAGCCATCTTTCCAGGGTGAGGTGGGATCTCAGTGTTGTTTTCATTTGCATCTCTCGAATGAACAGTGATGTTGAACATTTTTTCATATATTTATTTGCTGTTTGTACTTCTTCCTCTGAGATGTGCATATTCATCTAAGATGCTCATGTTAGAATTGCATCTTTAGATTTGGGGGTCCTGATTTTTTTGAGGTTTTTCTGTGTTCTCGATAGTAATGCTTTGACTGAGGAACACCTAGGAAACATTTTTTTCCCACCTTGTGGATTGTCTCTTCACTCTGTGGTGGTTTCTTTTGCTGTGCAAAAGCTTTTTAATAAGATGAGATCTCAGTTGTTGATTCTTTGTGATAGTTCCTGGGTGATCGGAGTTTTATTCATAGAGTCTTTACCTACACCAAACTCATCAGGAGTTCTGCCTATTCTATCTTCTAGCAAATTTAATGTTTCCATTTTATTATTATTATTATTATTATTATTATTATTTTTGTGTGTAGTTAGTACAGAGTCTACAAGGGTCTCACTACACAGATCAGACTTATAGTGATCCTCCTGTTTTCAGGCTTCCAAGTGCTGGGATTACAGGTGCATGCCACCACATCCAGTCTCAGTCACCATCTCAGCATGCCCCAGGGACGAGGCTGCCACGGAATGCCCCGGGATCGAATACCCGGGGATCCAACCCCTGATCCCAACACCTGCTTGCAGGTGCTTTAATCCAATGAGCTATTTGGCCAGCCCTTCCTGTGGCTTCTTTTGCCACTGATTTCCAATTTCATTGAACTATGGACTGATAATATGCATTAATATGCATTTTAATTCCTTTGCATTCACTTAAGCATGTTCTATGGGTTAGCATGTGATCTGTTTTGGGGAATGTTCCATGTGCAGCTGAGAAGGCTGTGTGTCGTGATGCTGTGGGGTGCGGCATTCTGTAGACATCTATTAAGTCTATTTGTTCAGAAGTTTGGTTCTGTTCTAATATCTTAGTTAGTTTCTAAATGGAAGTTTTTGTAGACAAGGTACATGAAGGGGCAGTGAGTTAGTGGTGTATCGAACTTGTTCAGGAATATGGCTCCCCTGGATGGAGCCTGGAGGTTATGGATAGGAAGGGGGTGTAATTGGTTTTCTTCCAGGCCGGATTATAGTGCAGCTGGAGTTGGACCCCCAAGGTGCTGATGGAAGCCATGGTGTGTCTCCCCAGCCTTCTGGCTAGGCTCTTTGTTCCTGCATCATTGTTAAAAGTGATCCCATTTGTTTTCAAAACAGCCTCATAGGTAGAAATTAATGAGATATGTTTTATTGAAGAGGAAACTATTA